GTTAGTATATATATATATATATATATATATATATATATATATATATATATATATATATATATATATATATATATATATATATATATATATATATATATATGCGCATCGGTAAGTCTGTAAATATTCTCACATATACTTGTAAAAACGGGCGGCTAGCAGCTACCCTAAAGTTTTGAACGGGAGTTATTATGTTTGTATGCACTTGGTATATTGCTCGCTATTATCAGCTTTTTCATATCCAAATACGAGGTTTAGGGATGTATTTACCGCTCAACGAGCTAACGTGCGGTATATTATTTTATTTCTTCGTTTATCGTTTGGATTGTTTGAATAAGTTACACCCGGCAGCTTAGTCGATAGTCTTATTTAGAAACTTTCGTTTTGCGAAGCAGAACCACCACTGTATTGATAATGATGAAAGCAAATAGTAAGTAAAGTTAAAGTGCGTAACATCGATGGACGTCATATATCTCTTAATTCAATTCTTCACACGCACATACAAGCTAATAAACTTTACTGGAGTGCAGGTTAATTTGATTCATTCAATCCTAACTCCCGGCAAACACACTTGATGCAGAGATAGCTGGTAACGTGAATGACTGCAATTCCCTACCTTATCAGGTGCATTATCTTTGAAAGCTTTCTTCACAAATCGTTGTGCAGTTTCCACTCGAAGTTGTGTGATATACTGCTTCAGAAGATCTGTAATTTTTCGTCAAAATTTGGCAATTGAAAGGATAAGTACAATTCAAAACACAGGGCAGCTACTTGTCGAGGACTGACGGATAGATGCCAGACGATCAACTTCATGATGGCGAGGAAAAAAAGTTGGGCGTAGGACGCATTCGCTAAATAAAGATTGCATCGTGCCTTCCAACGTTACCTGCTTCACCTTTGTCAGCGGGAGCGGGGTACATAGTGCCCAATGTAAAGTGACCATCACCGGGCATCGAAAAGTTGGAAAGCGCAAATGTATTGAGTGTTTTCTCGGCCTCCTTCGCGTTGGCACATCTTTGTGACTTCACGATACACTCACGTATAAACAGGGTTAGGTAGATGAGTACCCGATCGGCAGTACCTATAACGCAAAATAGAGGAAGCAGCACGAGATAATTGAGCCCGCGACAATGAGGAGCAAATGTGACACAACTGAAATCAGAATGAAAGCTCTCATATTCGGCTAAAATATATTCAGATGTGTCGTACCTCAGTAGGACATACCCTGCATACAATAGATCGCTACTTCGTCAAGGTAATAAAATCAAAATGCAAAGAGTATGATATGAAGTAGACGGCATGACAAGCGCTTAAAAATGTTTTATAACTGCGGCACACAAGGAAAGCGACATAGCGACTGAGATTTGCATTTGAAAGATAAACTTAGAAGTACTCGTGATGAACTCGAAACGGGCAATGAAGCATGAAACTACTCACCCTCGATTTCAAAGCTGGAGAAGAACATGTTAGGCTTAAAATAGTTAAAAGCCTCTTCGATGACATCTACTGATGCGTCTGTAATGATAATTACACAATTGATAATAAGTATGTGCGTTGCTTGATAAGCTTTACCTAGCATAGCAAGCAATCGATAAACTAGAATAATCAGTATGAATGGGCGTAATATGCCACTTGTGAACGAAAGGCCTCATTACACGTTCATGGAATAGCAATTACGTCTTTATGGCAAGGGAGGTGCCACGCTCGAATTAAATTAGATTCAAACTACCTGTCTTAGGAGCTGGTCCTCTGTAGGTAGTGTTCAGAGGAAGTACCATCATTCCCGCGAGCACATCAGTGCCCGCTTCCTTGTTGAAACTTGAGTGATAGACCTGTAGCATACCAGCGAGAAAATAAGTATCGACTAGCAATGGGAACAATCCTTGCTATTTGGGCTCGAATATTTCTATTTTCGCGTAGCCTACGTGTGGCAAAACCGTTCGTTTCGTGAATATATTGTCACAGGCCATATAGATAGAAGCTAGGATACACAGGCGAAACTTTCACAAAACTATGTCTCCTTCTCGTTCGCCGATCTCGGATGCCATGAATAGTCATTTATCTAACGATCAAGTACACTAAAAATTGGAAGGCAGCATACTCCGTCGCCATGACAGATGTAGCATAGGTGCTGCTCAAACCTTGCCCATGACAACTTGCCCATGAAGTCAACGGACACTTGAACCAAAAGATAAATCTCAATTTGACAATATATGTCTGCAAGTGAAGCGGTGAATTGATATTAAATTTGGCAGACTCTTATCCAAATAGCTGATCTGGTTCATAGCAGTAGTTTATCCCCCTTATCGCTTATATTATAAGTACAGTATAAAGGAATGGCTAGAAATTTATATCGCCTCCGTCATAGATGCACCTTTGCTAAAAGAGCTTGGGAAACTAGAATATCTCTGAAATAGATCGTATGATTGCACACCTGAGTTAGAATGTATACGGAGCGAATGAGCTGCTATCAATACTAATAACCGAAGAAGAAGTCATGTTACTTTTTCAGCGACAAACACTCCGATGAACGTCAAAATCAATAAAATACTAGATCAGTACTTTTGAAATTTTAAATACAACATTTGCATACATAGATCCAACTATTTAAACGATACGGATAAATTGAATCCTCGCTTATAAAAACAGAACATACATGAAAAGTATGCATCGATATACGTTTCTACCTCTATAAACAGTGAGCATTAGATATCCATATAAATACACCTTTGGATATACCTATACCACCAAGGTTTCAATAATCGAATACAATTTTGAACGACACGTACAGAAATACAGATACATAGATACACTATTACCAAATAATAATCACAGGTATGTAATT